AGGGAGACAGCTCAGGGGGCAGGAGAGCATTAAGGGATGGACACAGGGAAGAGGTACCTATCGGGAGGAAGTGGGAGGGGAGCTGTTGCATTGAGGTAAATTGTAGTCAATGTAATGAGATAAAGTGTATGTGAACTGCAATATGGAAAGTAAATTTGCTCTGTAAACTTTCACCCAAATCACAATTAAAAAAAAAAAAAAAAAGAAGAAAATTCCATGGCTTGGGTCAGGGACACTTTAATCTTTTAAGTGACATCTTTGCTCTTTAACACTTTAAAGAAGTCTTTCGCAGCCAATAAACAAACTATGGTTGGTTCATATTAAACAGTTAAAGTGAATGAAATTAATTTATGTATAAACATGAAAAATTTTAGAAAGATACGCTTGAATGAAGAGAGTGGGAAAAGGATACCTACAGTTTTATAACATTTATAAAAATTTGTAAGTATATAACAAAAGTATACATTGCTTATGGATGCATATGTATGTACATAATAAAAGTATAATATACTTTGGAATGATAACACTTTACATTCCAACTTTAGTTGTATCTGTAATGGTTTATTTTTGTCAGTAATTTTAAGTACATCTAATAAGAAAGTTTAAATAAATTGGTACTATATTCCCACTAAAAAATATTTACCTGTTGCTATTGAGTCAATTCGACTCAGAGCAACCTGCTATGACAAAGCAGAATTGCCCCGTAGGGTTTCCTAGGTTGTTATCTTAACGGGAGTAGACTGGCACATTTTCCTATTTGTGGCTGGTGGGTTTGAACCACCAACCTTTCAATTAGCAGTCAAGTGCTTAACCACTGCACCACTAGGGGTCCTTTTAAAAAAGTATTTAGTAAACACTGAAAAAGTAATAAGAAAATAAACACTAGATGTTCTTCCATTTACATAGACCATATAATGGAGTATAGAAAGTATTATTCTATGCACAGTTTTGTAATAATTTACTTTGCCATATACTTTGCCATACTACAGCCATATATCCTTATCATGATGTCAAAGTAATGAAACTTACACATAGCCATGGTAAAAAATTTAAAATGGCTTAGATGGATATAAAATGAAGAGCCTACATCTGACTCTAGACCCGAGTCCTACTGCCGAGAACTCCTTGCTTACCAGGTCCAGACACAGTGCTTTCATAACTGAGGAGGAAATCAGACTAGTGCCACTGGATGGAGACAGAGTTCTCCAATCCTCATCTCGCATGCGCTTTTTCAGACAATAAACCTGATCACAGCATTTCTAAAACATCAAGTATGAATTCAAATAAACTTTTGTACTTTTTTTATATTTCAAATTTCTCTGTATGGCACAATCATTTAAGACTTACAGTAATTATTTCTCACATTTAAAATAGGTGATTTCTTCTAATGGACATATGGATACCCTGTCAAAAAAAAAGTGCTTTTAAAAAAGCAAAGCAAAAAGCTAGTCAATCTAGGGAATGCACCTTTATGCACAATTCTAATATTGGATTGTTAATGGATTTTAACAAGAAACTTGCACTTTAAAAACCTATGGTTTTAAACAAAGGCATATACTTACAAATCAGTGTCTCAACTGGCAAGCTGAGGGTGTATAATTGAAACAAGCACAAAACCTACTGCCATTCAGTCGATTCCTACTCAGCGATCCTATAGGACAGAGTAGTAGTACTGCCTCATAGGGTTTCTAAGGCTGTAAATCTTTACAGAAGCAGACTACCTCATCTTTCTCACAAAGTAGCTGGTGAGTTCCAACCACTGACCTTCCCTGCTAGCAGTCAAATGCTTTAACCACTGGGCTACCAGAGCTCCTCCCAATAAGCACAAGTTGACAATATTCAAACTACAGAGCAAGCACCCATTAGTGCCTTTTAGCATGGGGTGAGTGAAGTGAGAGTAGCCACACATTCTAGTGTTTGCTGGACTGAAAATGCATCCACTTCCCCCCTCCGCCTTTAAGAGATTAGTGCCTCCTCAATCTGCTTGCATTATCTTTCTGCCATTAAACTAGAGATTTAAACCACAGATCTGAATACAAGCATATAATCAGTGACTGGGAATTAATCTGCAAGTTAAAGGTTTCACTTCACAAAACTGTTTTTAAAATCGGAATCCTTTCTAAATCATAATTTCAGGAGGGCTATAAGACTTGCATAGAAAAAATTCAAACTGGAAAAAGATACATCATGATTTGATTTATCTCAAAAATAAAAAACTCTTGGGGATTTTGTTTTATCTACATTGTCTCAAGAAGGTCACACACACAAAAAATAACAAATGCTGGCAAGGATGTGGAGAGACTGGAACTCTAATACACTGCTGGTGGGACTGTCAAATGATACAACCACTGTGGAAAGAAGTATGGTGATTCTTTAAAAAGCTGGGATTAAAAATACCATTTGACCCATTTACACTATTTACAATAGCAAAAAGATGGAAACAACCTAGATGCCCATCAATGGAAGAATGGATAACCAAACTATGGTACATACATACAATGTAATATTATGCAACCCTAAAGAATAACATAAAATCTGCAAAACACTGCATCAGGTGGATGAAGTTGGAGGACAATATGCTCAGTGAAATAAGTCAATCACAAAAGGACAAATATTTTATTAGTCCACTATTGTAAAAAGTCAAGGAAAAGGAAAGGTTTATACATGGAAGGAAACTTTGTTGTTACCAGGGGTGGAAGAGGAGGGAGGGAACACTGCTAGATAGGTAGAGACAAGTACTCATTTGGGTAAAGGGAAGGGCAATGCACCAAATGTGAGTGATCAATATAGTGACATTGAGGAAGAGGAAAATGAAAAGGGGTACATGGGAGATAGAGACAACAAAGATGAACCCTTTTGCACATACAGTACACCATGCTGGCAGTGATGGCAAACATTGAACTATGGGTGGAAGGATGGGTGGATAGGCTGAATGATCAGGTATGCCTAGGCAGGGGGGAGTGTGCTCAAGACCATGTATAGGTCTGGCAGACAATGTTTCTACAAGTGTATTTGTATACTCTGTAAGAATGTCCAGGTATATAGTAGAGCTGACAAGGGACAAGGTTGTGGTGACTTCTTGACCACAGCCAGCTACCTGGAGGGAGCAAGAATTGGACCTGTGGGTTCAGGACCACGGTCCTAGGGGACATCAGGCTCAATTGGCATAACATGCTACACAAAAACATTGTTCCATGTCCTACTTTGGTGAGTAGCTATTGGGATCTTAAAAGCCTGCAAACGGCCATCTAGATGCAACAATGGGTCTCTCCTCATCCAGAGCAAAGAAGAATGAAGAAAACCAAAGATGCACGGAAACAATTAGTCCAAAGGACTGATAAACCATGTGATCCTCAGTCTATATGCCCATGAGACCAGGAGAACTAGATGGTGCCCAGCTACCACTGTCAACCACTCAGAGGGGGATCTGTGTAGGAGATCCTGGATAGAGTGGGAGGAACAAAACTCAAAATTATCATTAAAAAAAAAAAAAAAAAAGACCAGACTTCCTGGGAAATCGCAGTTAATATTATGAGACAAAATGTGTATAAACTGCTGTATGGAAAATGAAATTGCTCTGTAAACTTTCACCAAAATAACAATAAAAGGTTTAAAAATAAATAAATAAATAATGCAAAAATTAATCAGTCAAACAATAATAAGGATAATGAGGTTTTCAATTATTTTTAATATAAGACAAGACACCATTTTAAATTCAAAACTTCTTTAACTTTGCAAAAAGTGAAAGCCAAAATAAGTTTTGTACCGAAATTTATTCTGAACAATGCAAAAACTTTCCAATCACAGAACATAAGAAAGCAATGTAATGAAAATAACCAAAAAAAAACCGTAACCACTGCTGTGGAGTCGGATCTGAAAACTGTACATTAAAAAATCACATTTGGGAGGAGCAACAAAAAATATGTATGTTCTTCTAAACATGAACACAGTTTAAATGTGTCCAAAGGTAAAGGAGAACATTGTGAAGGTGACACAAGACTGAGTAACTTTTTGTTCTATTGTTCATGAGATTACTGAGTTAGAGACAACCTGATGGCAACTAACAACAAATGTACCAGATACAGGCGTACCTCACGTATATTGTGAGTTTGGTTCCAGACCACTGCAATAAACCCAGTATCCAAGAAAGCTAGTCTAACGAAGTTTATGATTTCCCAGTACATATAAAACTATGTTTAGACTAGACTGTAGTCTATTAGGGAGCTCTGGTAGCGTACTGCCTAAGGCACTTGACTACTAACCAGAAGGGTGGAGGTTCAAACCCACCAGCCACTCCTCAGAAGGAAGATGGGGCAATCTACTTCCGTAGTGATACTGCCTCAGAAACCCAAGGTGGGGTCGCTGTGAGTCGGGTCCGACTCGACGGCACATAACAACAACAACGTAGTCTATTAAGTGTGCAGTAGCATTTTGAAATACAAGAATTACCAAAATGTGACACAGAGACACAAAGTGAGCACGTGCTGTTGGAAAAACGGCACTGATAGACTTGCTTGACATAGGGTTGAGACAAAACATTCAATTTGGAATAAAAAAGTCAAAAACAAAAACCTGCAGTATCTGCAAAGTGCAGTGAAACAAGGTATGCCTGCACGTATTCTATTTGGTCCCAACTCACGGCAACCTCATGTGTGCAGAACAGAATGGCCTCATAGGGTTTTCAAAGCTCTACCCTTCCAGAAGCAGGTTGCTAGGTCTACCTTCTGAGGTGCCTCTGGGTAAGCTTGAACTGCCCACTTTTGAGCTAGTCATCAAGCACTTAACCCATTTACACCACTCAGACTAACCATGTATCTCCATATAAAATCACGGGTCATATTCTCCAACAAAATCACTGAATGTATAGTAACAAAGAGGAAAAAGAGAATGAAGGATCAACAAAAGTTTTATCATAGATATCAAGGTAATGGGGTTCATAAAAGAATATGATAGAAAGTTACTTTAAAAACCGTACCCTCTTTGTGGAACTCACAACGTACCAGGAAACTGTGACACAATTGGAGGTGTATCCTCATCTAAGTCATCAACTCCTCCGGCAATTGGATAGGGTGGAATGGACACTCTGGGCATCACCACCCAGCTGTGATCAGAATACAAGGAAGAGGTGAGGCTGGGGAGCCCTGAATTATGGGCTATCTGAAAGCCACAGATCTTCTCAATCTGTTGCCAGCGAAAAAGTCGTTCTCGTAAACAAGTCGTCAATTCAGAGAGTGCTTTCCTGGAAAAGCCAAGAAAGGGGTTACTAGTTGCAGCAAGGGCTGTTTAATATGGCACTGACAAAAGGCAACCACATGAATGCACCATGGCAGTTTTCTAATTCCAAGAAGAAATTAACCAGACTTAGAATTAAAGTACGTACTTTTATATGAATAAACGACAAACTAAGGTACAAATAGTCTGTAGATAACTCATTTCAACATAAGCAGGAATGAACAGATGGCTAACATTCTTACTTTGCTTCCAGAATTTTGTGGTCCACCTCATCTAGGGAGGAGCTATGTGCAACATGCAGAGTCCCAAACACGGTGCTTCTCTTCTTTTTAATCTTCTCTGCCTAGAAACCCGAGGAGAGAAAAATAAGTGCAAGGCTAGGTTAAAAAAAAAAAAAAACACATATACTAATGATGTTTATTTTGTCTTGAATGTATTAATAATCATAAAACCATTGGAAAATTATTAGCCAAGAGAGAGCACTGTTTTTCAAAAACATAAACACATGGGAAAAATGGGAAGCATGCTTTCCTAAGCTAGTCAAAGTAATTCAAAATTCTGTTGAATTTTTCTTTTATCTGTATGGTGGAGAAGACCTTAATCTTCTTAAAACTAACAGAATAACATGAACTATATATGCCACTGCAATGGAAGTATTAGTGAAGTGAACTGAGCTTTTTTTTGGGAGGGGGGGGAGCTAGCAATCAGATTAACATTTAATCTTATTTCACACAATGTAATAAGTGTCAGACATTAATTTCTAGTAACTACTAGTAACTACTAACCTGAATCAGATATGAAGCAGCAACCTAGAGGAGAAAAGCTCCGTATAAAACATTCACAATCATGGTAACAGTCATGATTTTCTGCATGACACTCAGGTTACTTGGAAAATACATATTTCTTTAAAGTAATTTTACCTGGACTACAAGAGTCAATTTATACCATTTAAAAAAAAATAAAAAAAGTACAAACATAAAAATCTTTATATCCCAGTTGGTTAATCCCTCTACAAGGCAGCCTAAGAAATAAATTTAGTTAACTTTTGAAATGTAACAGATGAAAAACTACCTCATCTTTAGCAATAGCTAACTGCATTTCAGCATTCTGTCTTTTGATATTGTAGTACTGTACTTCTACTTCGTGTGTTAACTGAAGCCATTTCTGAAGTGCATCTGGAACAGACCAGCTACTTCTGAGTTCAAATTCTTTCTCAGCTTTTTTCAGAGCCATGCGAACCTAGAAGTTAAAGTAAAAGTAGAAACAATTAAGATGTAATTTAAGACCAAAATTTAAAAAAAGAGCAATTTAACTATGCTCTTTGTAAGTATCTTTTAAATTAAAGTTATAATACAATATATTTCTAACACTGAAGTTAGAGCTGCAGTTTTAAACGCACCTTAAATTCATGATGCAAAGTTGTAAGCTAGAGAGAGTAAAGGAAAGTTACATATACTTTAAGTTGAAATATCTAGCGCTGATATTTTATAATAGCCAGGTTCACTGAGAGACAAAAACATAGGGCACATATCATCTAAAACTGATCACATTTTTCCCACAACGAACATATTTATTCGCGGAGTAGGATGTGAAGAACTGCCAGCGACAGAACAGGTACTGGTCTACTACTACCTCTTCTAATATTGCCGAAGAACTTACCTCAACTCCTTAACTATTCACTGATTTTTGTAAATAAAGAAAAGTGATTATACCTCTTTTTAGTTTTCCATGAGACCTTCTTCATAGCCAGTTAATTCTCACTATTAGAAGCGTATCTGCTCATGTGGCATGTTTTACCACTGCTTCTCTTTAGTTCACTGCATCTAATACATCAGAAGCTAGGTAAGTAAGCATTTGCAGCCCACATATAAATTATGAGACAACAGATTCTGACTAAGCATCTACTCGATTTTTCTATGAGAGACTATGTATACCCTTTAGTGTAAGGAAGTTGTAGTACTTGTTCCAGCTGCCCTTTAGGGGAACTAGACAATAAACAAGATTTTAAAAATAAACGTATAATGTGTTTTTTCTTTAAAAAAAAAAAAAAAACTCATTACCATTGAGTCGATTTTGACTCACAGTAACCCCTTTTGAGTTTCCAAGGTGGTAAATCTTTACAGAAGTAGATTGCCCAGTCTTCCTTCCATGGAATGGCTGGTGGGTTTCAATCACGAACCTTCTGGTTAGCAGTCAAATGCCTTAGACACTACGCCACAAGAGCTCTTTTAGGAGTGTGTTGTTGTTGTTGTTATGTGCCCTCGAGTCAAACCCGACTCATAGCGACCCCCTCCTTGGGTTTCCGAGGCAGTATCACTACGGAAGTAGGATTGCCCAACCTTCCTTCCAAGGAGTGGCTGGTGGGTTTGAACCGCCAGCCATCTGGTTAGCAGGCAAGTGTCTTAGCCACTATGCTACCAGAGCTCCCTAGGAGTGTGTTAGGAGGTAATAGGAGTGTGTTAGGAGGTAATAAATGTTTTTTTTTTTTCTTTTAAAAAACTTAAGCCTCACTAGGAAAAGGACAGAAGGAAGAGATAATGCATTCCAGGAATGAATCGGTTAAAAACTAGGAAGAGCTCAAACTAAAGATGGATAAGGACAGATGATGGGACTTATGGAGTTGCACACACACACTCAATGCCTGCAGACAAAGTGATGATGAATAATGGGAGCATCCTGCTTCTTCCACCAAACCCACTGCCATCGAGTCGATTCCGACTTAGTAACCCTCACTGGATTTCCAAGGCAGTAAATCTATATGGAAGTACACTGCCCCATCTTCTCCCATGAAGCAGCTGGTAGGTTTGAACAAGCAATATTCTGGTTAGCAGTCAAATTCCTTAGGTACTGTACCACCACTGCTACCCCCTGCTTCTAGAGGACCATAATTTTCAATTAGTTGTCCTCAAAGGTCAGTAAGTAACTAAAATTCTATTCCTAAACTGAAGTCCAGAGCAATGTCTGCTCTGAACAAAGCCAACTTACTTAAATAAACTTTATTATTCTTCTGATAAAGAACTAGAATGGCTGTCAGATACTGTAAAAAATGAGCTATATAAAAAATAATTTTTAAAACTCTAAAAATTTTAAAAATACATCCAAAATAGAACACTAAGTATACAATTCAAAAGAGAGATACTAAATATAAAAGAAGATAACCAAAAACCAAAATCACTGTCTTTGAGTCAGATCCAACTCATAGCAACCCCTCCTTGGGTTTTCGAGGCGGTATCACTATGGAAGCAGATTGCCCAATCTTCCTTCCGAGGAGTTCAAATCCACCAGCCTTCTGGTTAGCAGTTAAATGCCTTAGGCACTACGCCACCAGAGCTCTCATAAAGGAAGACAGATAGAACTTACTGACAACAAAATCTAAGTAGTATTTTTACTTTTTTTTTTTTTTACTTTCATCGTGGTGAAAACATACACATCAAAACATTCACCAACATAACAACTTCCACATTTACAGCTTAGGGACACTGATGACATTCGTCATGATGTGCCACCATTACTGCTACGCTCTTCCAAAATAGTCTAACACCAAAAACCTAACATTTGTCTGACATGATATATTCTGCAATGTGATTAGAATAATACTGTGTAATAAGACTACCGGGTAAGCTATGTGGCGTCCCTGCGAATCTCTCAGGAATCAAGAATCTGCACTCAGGTCCTGTGGCCTGCAGTTTGGTGTAAGATCCCCAAGTGTAGAAGAGTAGGCCCTTTTGTGCAAAAGATTTTAAAGCTAAAACTTCTGTACAGTTTTTATTTCCCAGGAAGCATACTGAAAGCCTGAATAGATTTCACTTGATATTTCCTCTTTAATTAGCAAACATTTCCCTAATGTTTATTTCCCCTAAAAAAGCTCAAAAGAAATCTTTATATACATTCCATATATATCACACATATATAAATTGAAGCATAACAATTTATGCTTCAAATAATACCTCAAAGTTTTGGAAATTTAACCTTCTAATAATGACAATTATTTTAAGTAATGACAATTATTTTAAGTATTTTCTCTAAAATTCATGTTTATCATTCAACCTAAATTCCTACCCTTAGTGTGAATTTCATTGTTATTTATAATGGAAAAGACCCACTGAAAACCTAGAGTAATTAACAGCTTTTACAAATGCTGAATTTTGAAAATATGATCACAGTAATTATTTGCATAATTTTTTGGTCTCTATAATAAAACAATAAATAAATACATGATATCATTTAAAAAAACAGTCTAAATATCTAAAAACCTGACTTTTAAACCCAACTTTATCATCAATATTATATCTCTGTGATCTTCAGCACAGCCCTCAGTTGTTTTTCTTTTTTTAGTTTTTATTTCAGTTTGGGTGAAAGTTTACAGAGCAAATTAATTTTCCATGCAGCAGCTCATACACATTTTGTCTGATGACACTGATTGCAGTTCCCCAGTGTAACAGCTTTCGTCCCACTTCTTCCCCATAGTTACCTCTTCCCTGTGTCTTTCCCTCCCATACACTCCCACCCTCCAAGCTGTCCCTGCCCTTCTATTCTCCCATGATTAACTGCTCCAAGTAGTACATCTAGGGAGCTCTGGTGGTGTAGTGCCTAAGGCATTTGACTGCTAACCAGAGGCTGGTGGTTCAAATCCACCAGCCACTCCTCAGAAAGAAGATTGGGCAATCTACTTCCGTAGTGATACTGCCTTAGAAACCCAAAAGGGGTCGCTATGAGTAGGATCCAACTTGACAGCAGTGAGTTTGGTTGGTTTTTTTTTTTTTTTTTTGTGGGGGGGGGGGAAATAGCATATCTACCTGATATAAGTGTTCAGCCCATATGCCTACCTATTGTTTAGCTGGAAGCCAAAGGAGTGCGTTCAGTTCCAAAACTGAAGGGTAGCTAAGGGCCATAGTCTCAGGGGTCTCACCAGGCTCTATCAGACTTCATCCCTTAATTTCTGAGGCTCAGAATTGTCCCAGCTACAGGTTTCTCAAAACAATTTTTACAAAACCAAATAATTTACGTGAAAACTATTTAAACCATACAAAAGATAAAGAGGTACTATTATTCACTCAATAGTCTATGTTTTAGGGAAATAATAGTATTTATACAATATGTTTGTTGTTAGGTGCCATGGAATCAGCTCTAACTCATAGTGACTCCATGTACAACAGAATGAGACACTGCCCAGTCCTGCACCATCCTCACAATCCTTGCTATATACTTGAGCCCATCATTATAGCCACTGTATCAATCCATCTTGTGGAGGGTCTTCCCCTTTTTTGCTGACCCTCCCTCTACCAAGCATGATATTCTTCTCCAGGGAATGGTCCCCACTGACAGCATGACGAAAGCAGGTGAGATGAAGTCTGGCCGTTCTTGTTTCCAAGCAGCATTCCAGCTACACTTCTTCCAGGGAAGATTTGTTCATTCTTCTGGTTGTTGTTGTTGTTATGTGCTGTCGAGTCAGACCTGACTCATAGCGACCCCTCCTTGGGTTTCTGAGGCAGTATCACTATGGAAGTAGATTGCCCCAGCTTCCTTCCGAGGAGTGGCTGGTGGGTTTGAACCGCCAGCCTTCTGGTTAGCAGTCAAGTGCCTTAGCCACTATGCTACCAGAGCTCCGTATTCTTCACCAACACCACAATCCAAAGGCATCAACATTCTATAGTCTTCCTTATTCATTGTACAGCTTGCACATGTCTATGAAGTGACTAAAAATACCATGGCTTGGGTCAGGTGTACCTCAGTCTTCAAAGTGACATCTTTGCTCCTTAACACTTTTTAAAGGGGTCGCTTGCAGCAGATTTGCTTGAGTGCTGCTTCTATGGGTGTTGATTTCCAAGCAAAATGAAATTCCTGACAACTTCAATCTTTTCTCCATTTATTGTGATGGTGCGCTTACTGGTCCAGATGGGAGGATTTTTGTTTTCTTTATGTTAAGGTGTAATCCATGCTGAAGACTGTCATCTTTGACCTTCATCAGAAAGTGCTTCAAGCCATGACTTGAAGCATTTACTTTTCTTCCACAGTAGCTGTACCACTTTGCATTCCCACCAGCAATAAAACCAACCCAAACTCACTGTCACTGAGTCGATTCTGACTCATAGCGACCCCTCCTTGGGTTTCTGAGGCGGTATCTCTATGGAAGTTGATTGCCCAGTCTTCCTTGTAAGGAGTGGCTGATGGGTTTGAACCTCCAGCCTTCTGGTTAGCAGTCAAATGCCCTAAGCACTACACCATCAGAGCTTCAATGGATAAGGGATCCAATTTCCCCTCTTCCTTGCCAACATTTGTAATTTTCTGTTTTTTAATCTTTTACTCTTTTTTTAAATCTAAGCCATTCTTGGGAGTGTGACAGTATCTCACTGTGGTTTCGATTTTTATCTCTGTGACGGCTACTGATGCTGAGTACCTTTTCATATGTTTGGTGGCCACCTGAATGTCCTCTTTGGTGATATGTCTATTCCAGTCCTTTGCTCATTTTATGATTGGGTTGTCTTTCTGTTGTTAAGTTGTTCATGTTTTACATACATTTTAGATTCTTGTTAGATAAATGGTTTCTGAAGATATTCCTCTAGTCAGCAGAGCTTGTCTTTTCATTTTTTTTGTGGTAAAGTCTTTTGATGAACCAAAGTTTTTAATTTTTATGAGGTTCCATTTATTTATCTTGTCTTTTGCTGTTTGTGCTTTTGTTATTATTACACTAATTGACTACTGAAAGCTAGGCCTGACAGCATCACCCCTGCCTGTTCTTCTAAGTCTTATATTATTTTAGCTTGTATATTTTGGTCCTTAACCTATTTTGAATTTGTTTTTGTTTATGGTGTGAAGCAAGCATCTTGTTTCATTTTTCTGCATGTGGAAATCCAATTTTCCCAACCCTATTGAAAAGACTGTTCTTTCCCCCATTGAATTGACTCAGTACCCCTGTCAAAAATCAGCTGACTGTAGACATGTGGTTTTATTTCTGGACTCTCAATTCTATTCCATTAGTATATGTGTCTGTTGTTATACTGGTATCACACTGTTCTGATTACAGTAGCTGTATAGTATGTATTAAAATCAGCAAGTGTGAGTCCTCCTACTTTATTCTTCTCTTTCAGCACTGTTTTACTATTTGAGGCTTTTTGCTTTTCCATATAAAGTGGAGGACTGGTTTTTCTATGTCTGCAAAGAAGGCTATTAGAATTTTGATCGGGACTGCAATGGATCTGTATATTGCTTTGGGTAGTATTAACATCTAACAATATGAAGTCTTCCAATCCGTGAATACCTTTCTACTTATTTACATCTCCTTCATCTCCTTCATCACCATTTTACAGTTTTCATGGCATAAAGTCCATCACGTCCCTGGTTAGATTTATTCCTAGGTATTTTATTCTCTTAGATGTCACTTTAAATGGAATTGTCTCCTTAAATTCCCTTTCAGATATCTCCTTGCTCGTGTATAAACAAAACTTTTAACAGCAGTTTGGGAAAAACAAGGACTTTGGAATAAGACACATAAAATCTTACCTTTGCCATGTAATAGCTGTGTAACCTAAGACAAGTTACTTAACCTCTCTACACATCTCATCAATAAATGAAGATAATATCTACATACAGTGAGGATAAAAATTTACAAGCAAATCATTTGCAATGTGTAAGCATTTTCTGATACAAAGTAAGCACACAGAAAATTGTGTTTCTAATTACTATGAATCATGTTGGAGAGAGTTCTAAGGTATGCAAGGCCTCTATGCCAAAACTCTTAGATTAGAATGTCTGATTCTTGAGTCCTTTTCATATTGTGTCTTCTCCCTCAGTATGAGGAAGTCATCTTTAAAATACTGCTGTCAGTATATCTACATAAAATAATTTCCCCATTACTGCTTTCTGATTTGCTTTTTCTTATCTACAAAGTTGAGAAAAATAGCTTACAAGCTTGTTAGTACTGAGAACAAACCAAAAGTTAGAGGTCTTGGTGACAACAGGCACAGAGTTCTCCCAGGAGCACAGGCCACCAGATATAATTCTTGGGCAGAGTTTAATGTTGGTTGGGTATTTTTTTGTTAACACCCTTGTTCTTGATTACATTCTGTCTAGATAAAGTTCATCAGGCAAATGAAGCATGACATCAAAATATGTCTAAGAATCAATTTAAAAGAATAAACTCCTTACAAGGAAGAAGGCCAAAGAAACAGATGTCTGGGGATAAGGGAAGAGTAGTTAGTAAATGAGTGGCTGTATTCAATCAATCAGACAAACTCTACAAAGAATGTCTATCTTGAAGGAAACACTAATGGACACTGCATATTTTCCCACGAACTGAAATTAAAACACATTCATCACATACTACATGGCATTTCTCATTTACTGTTTGATTGAGAAGGCAACAGTACATAAAACAAAGCAGGAGGCAAACTGACTAGATTTTTGCCCCTGCTTTAAAACCCAATCACATTCTAATTTTGAGCAAGTCTTCCAAATCCTCATTTTGTCCCTCTATTTCTTTCTTTGTAAAGAAATGGTCAAAATCCGAAGGAGGAGCTGGCATCAAAGCAGAGGTCGTACACCTTAAAGTTGGAGGAAGGACTGTGAGCTAAGGAGTATACACAGCCTCTATGAACTGAAAAAGGAAAGGAACCAGAACCTCCCCTTGAAGTCACCAGAAGGAACGCACATTGGGTACCCATTTTAGAATGTGTCCTCCAGACCGGAAGGTAGTAATCTGTGTCATAAAGCTGCTAATCATGGTAATTTTTCACATTCAGAATAAGAAACTAACATCTACCTATTAATTTAAATTCTCCCAGTGCCTCCCTTCTCCAAAGGGCTCTGTGCAATGTCTGAGTCCTACATTTAGTCTTTAGTAACTGAATGGAGGAAGTAGAGTGGGGAAGGACATCTTTCAAAGGTTTCAGGATTTTTAGCAAATTATGTCCTGAAACCATTTCACAGGATCCAGATGGATGGTCAGTAGAGATCCTTTACCTTTGCAGAGAATTTCAACATTAGATATACTTTATTTTACTAGGTTACAGTCAGAAATGCAAACATGTTACAGAGATTAATTAAATACCTTAGATTTGCTCAAGTCTATCAACATGAAATGAGATAAGATTCAAAACATGAATGAGTGAACAAGACGGTTACTTTATCTTATAATTACTATTTTGTTATTTTACCATATGGACTTCACTTGATCAATGCTAATGATATGAACAAATGGTTCCCTTATTAACTAAGCAACTATAAAATGGATAAAATGGAACTGAATGTAGGAGGCTACGCACAAACAGGGCCCAGCTCCTTCAGCGGCAGTACAAATATCCTAACAAGCACTTCTGAAAGCGTCAATACCTGCTCCAATTCCTGCTCTGCATACTGGCGTCTGCTCAACTCGCACTCGGCGCCCTCCCTCAGCTCTCTCAGCCGACAAGCCTCCTCCTTCGCGTAATTGATCTCGTCCATCATTTTGCGCTCTAGATTTTGCTTTTCTACAGCCACATTTCTGTTTTCCTCCTGTGCCTTTTCAAGCCTTATAGAACAATAAAAAGGAACGAATATTGCTCACAAAAGTTTCCAGATTTCGTTTTTTTACTGAAAAATAACTATAGATCAAGTAATTAGATACACGTTTGAATCACAATTCACAACATTTTCTACTAACCTTAAGTCTCAATAATAAAAATGTCAGACAACCCACCATACAGCTATATTTTGGCTTCTGAGTTGACTCCAACACAGGGCAGTAGAGAAGCTCTTCATCAAAGAGACTTTCATTAAATTCATAATTATTTAAATGATGCTAAACATTTTTTTTTACCAAATAATTCCACTTATATTTGATTATTTCTATTGGTCTTCTTTCTACTCATTCCCAAGTATATACATTTATAAAACATCTGTAATTATGCAAATACACTGATACTTTTGTGAAAACACTAAATGAAATGGCCAAGCATTCCTGCTGTGTGTACTAACCTAAATATAAATGTGTGAGTCCATGCCCATATTACTTTCTTGTGAATTCTATTTTCCTATGTAAGTAACAAAGTCACAGCTATTCTGACTCACCTCTCTTGTAAGTCCATCAGACTCTGCTCTGCAGTCTGCAGACTCTCTAAGTCCTTCATCATTTTTGCAACATGTTCTTTGGATGTCTTATTCTGTGTATAGGCAAACCAGCACCCTCCAACACCAATGACTATAGAAACTGTGAGGATAAAATCCTTCATCCAGTTATGAGGTGGGCCTACAAAGAGAAATACAGGTTGCTGAATTAATTTTTGAGTGTAATGGAACAAATGAACCTCAATTCACAGAGGCACTTTCTTTTTAGTAATAGAAATTGAAAAACAAAAACAAAGCCTATGATGATCTTTCTCCTATACACAAGTTCGAGCCTTTTAAAAATTATCTCTTCAAGTTATCAGTCTGTATGGTGTAACTATTTCTATCTGATATACTAGACCTATAAAATCAAAACAAAAACCAAACCCACTGCCATCCGGTCAATTCCAACTATAGGAAGGCAGAAACAAACCCACAAGGATGCACCATGTCCCAGGAGAAGAAATAACAACAAAGTCCTGGGACCCCAGAAAAAGCAATAGCATCTCCAATCATGTGGTCCAACTCCCTTCCTTCAGGCAAGATAGGCAGCTGCCATGCTTTTAAAACCCCAACCATTCACATTTTCCACAAGCATGCAGGTATGTAACTAGTTAGGTAAATCAGTGGTTCTCAACTGGTGGTGATTCTCTCCTCCCATGCAGACTTTTGACAATTTTTAGTCATCACACTGGGAGAGGGGAGGTGTGACTGGCATTTAGTGGGCAGAGGCCAGGGATATTGCTCAACAGCATACTATGCAGAGGACAACTCGACCACCATCACCATCCCCCCTAATAAAGTTTAATTACTATGTTCACCATTTACATGAAAAAAGTCAAAATCTCACAAAAGACAATCCACCAATGGATTCAGTCAAAACCAGGATAAAGAACAGGTTAGAAAAGGGCTCATCTCCATGCAATGCCTAGCATCCCCGGCAGAATTCTACCCAGCATTTCCGAAGAGCTCTATTTCCTATGGTTTATAACTTCCACCAATACTGCATTTCCACCAGCTCTTACAAAGGGAGGTTTCCAGCTGTTTCACCAGCTGCTCTTTCAGCCCGCCAGGAGAGTCATGGAATCCATTCTACCACTTCAGTAACCTTTTCAGCAGGGTCACCTCCCAGATGTTACCATAAACACCAGAGTCTTCCAAGCCCAAAAATTCACATAGAATGAACATTAGTTTCCTAACTGGTAAATTCTTAAAGTATTAACTGCTTTTACTCCTTTTTGGCTTCTGAAAAATAAAATATCCTTCCTTCTAAAACGTGTAGTTTTCAAACACTTTCCTCCAAAGCTTTCTGAAATTAGAAATTAAATAAAATAAACATACTAAGCTACCCTCTGGGAAAAAATTATTCCTCTCAAAGTGAAGAAATGCAAGGTTTATTTTCCTTACAAATATGACATAACATTTTCTGACATGATCCTCCTCAAAACAAACAGCATTCTCTTAATTCTGCCAGGAAAGTCTGTTACTGTCTAGAGTTTCAAGTGGGTCTTTGCTTTCCATCTGTTATCTAAAAAAATCCTGCTCTCGATGATAATGAAATCAAGTCAGGATCTATTCGTGTCATCAGACAGTTAGAGTGCCCCAATTTTTAAAGGGGCTCTTCAGTGAACATCCAACACAACATTAACATGCCTAGAGCTACAAAAATCTAAAGTTTTAAATTGAGGGATTTCATTCTAAATAATCAAGTACTCTTTGTTTTTAGAATGCTTTGCTTAAGTTACCAGCTTTGAAATATCACACCCCATGTTTTAATGAGAGAACATCTCACCCTAAAAATCTTTCATTCTAATATGCTATTACATTTCTTTCACAGCTAACAGAAGATCTTTCTTAGTGGTCAACTACTTTCCTTACTTTTTCCTTCTTTACATAACAGAGAAATGGTCTTATTACTCTTTTGCACAATAGTCTGAGTAAGACAGCATACTAACGTGTTAGAGGTCCAAACAAAACCACATCCAGTGCCTTGAGCTGAAGTTTTTGTCTGTGACTCCGGTCACTGATTTTCAACTGAGAGATCATAAAGGATGGCTCGTGCACTGCTATCCTGTTCATGTAAGAGACACATGTGTGTATTAAATAAAATTATTTGTAGTACATAAATTTAAATATTTGATCAACACATTTAATACTTTTACATATTAGTGATTACTGTAAGAGCTCACTGGTACATGGTTTAATACTTTATTACATGTGTCAAAACCCTTTTCAGTGTAAACTTAGCTGTATAAAGATGCTTGTATGTTAATAGCTTAGTTACCATACTGTTCAATTTTTGTTTTCTAAGGTCACTTTCTGTTATAAGGTATGATTGAAAAATTTATGAATTTCAAATATTTTTAATCATTAATTATCTCTGGCATTTTACTGTTCTCTCACAAAGAACAATAAAATTATAAATGACTTTCTCAACATCAATAGCAGACTTAAAAAAACACTTCTCAATTTAGATAATGTTGCTTTTCTTTAAAAATATCTAAAAATTATACCTGTACATTCTAATATTGAAACTATTTCATACCAAAGTTGTAAGTGGGAAACAAGAAATCATCACAGAATAGATTTAGAAGATTTATAGAGGAAGTAGTATTGAATCACTTTATTAGCAATGAAGAAAGCATATGGGAAGTCATGGCAAAAGGCACAGGTAAAATAAGGAAACAAAATCACTTTAGACAGCAAATCCCACTCACCCAGTATTCAACGAAGATTTCTTAAGAACTAAGTATGATGCCATATAACACAAAGTCTAATAATAATATAATAAACAACCATGGACTATGTGCTGGGCCCTGCATCAAGGGCTTAATTATAGTATCGCCATTTTATAGATGAGAAAACTAAGGTTCGAAGATATTAAGACATTAATTACAAGGTTAAGTAATATACAGGGTAAGGCAGAAATTCAAACCCAAATGTGTATGACTCCAAAGACTGTACTCTGAACCACTGCATTTTATTTGGGAAGATATCAGTACCTCTGAGCATGAAGAAATTACAGGAACTCCTTTGAAGCTTCTAGAAAACTTTAGCAGGTAAAGAAGAACTCTAACTTTCCCTTTACAAAACGCCTTTCTCCATCTTCTCCACAGGTACTCTTCCTGTATAGTAAATACGTAGCTTTTGTTGCTTTGAGGTTTGTGTTTTGTATTGAGTTGAAAGTTTCCATATTTCCCTTAAACTTATTCTAAACTTTCACATCAATATTTGATTTTTCATATACCTATTTGAATGATGGAATTATGGGGCTAAGAGTCAGTTCAACAAGTGCTTTTCTTATTGAAGATATTTTATCTTCCTAGAGCTCTGGTAGCATAGTGCCTAAGGCACTTGACTGCTAACCAGAAGGCTGGCGGTTCAAACCCACGAGCCACTCCTCGGAAGGAAGGTTGGGCAATCCTAGTTCCGTAGTGATACCGCCTCGGAAACCCAAGGAGGGGTTGCTATGAGTCGGGTCGACTCGAGACGGCAAATAACAACAAAAACAACAATAACAGTGTAACTAAATGCTAGAGAGAAGACAAAATTTAATTAGATAAGGACTGCCTGGGTGGTGTAAATGGTTAAGCACTTGGCTATGAACTGAAAGGTTTGTGGTTTGAATCCACCTAAAGGCTCCTCAGAAGAAAGGCCTGAAGATCTCCTTCTGAAAGATCACAGCCATGAAAACCCAACAGAGCACAGTTCTGCTGGGAAACACGTTGGTTGCCGTGAGTCAGCGGCAGCTGGTGCGCACAGCTCCTCGTTTCCATGACAGGAACAAAAGGGTTTGAAATGGGAATGAAAACAGTAATGAACATTTATTATTAAACATATATATGTGTGTGTGTGTGTGTGTCAGAAAAATTCTACCTGAATGGGTGAGGATGTCAGGGAAGGTCACACAGGTCTGAAAGGAATGAGGAGGCATGTGTCAGGTGAAGAGAGCTCTGGTGTATATAAGCTCTGGTAATAAGAATTACAGAGTGCAGAAAACACACTAAAAAGTTGCTATGGAGTCAATTCCAACTCACAACAACCCTACAGAACAGGGTAGAATTGCTCTATGGTTTCCAAAGCTGTAATCTTGGAAGCCAACTGCCACATCTTTCTCCCGCAGAGCAGATGCTGGGTTCAAACTGCTGATGTTTTGGTTAGCAGCTGAGTGCTTAACCACTGCACCACCAGGGCGCTTTAAGCATAAAATAACCTTTATAAATGACTAACAGAATGCTGGCTACCTATAACAAATGTAGCAATGTTTTAATATCATAGGCCCATTGCCACTGAGTTGATTCTGACTCATAGCAACCCCACAAGACAGAACAGAACTGCCCCTTAGGGTTTCCGAGGCCATGTGTCTTTATGGAAGGAGACTGCCACGCCTCTTCCTCATGAGCAGCTGGTGAGTTCAAATGGACAACTTTTCAGTTAATAACAGAGTGCTTACCCACTGAACCACGAGGGTTCCAATATAATAGAAAGGAATCATAATAAGTGGTTGCTGTAGGTCAACTTCCTGGAACTGGCAATACAGTTTCTTACACATTCCAATAAGCAGCTCTGGTTCTTATACACCAGTTTAAGTTAACTGATACTAACCCCTTTAAGGTGACTCATGTAATTGCCACTAGCCTATAAAAGAAGCTTGAGGAAGAGTCTTCCTGTTTTCACTTCTCCTCTACTCAAAAGGCTCCAGTGAGATGACCTGAGAACTGAACTTCCACATCTATAATCTCTTTTTTCTACAGAAACATGTTCATTATTAAAAAACTAATCTTGATAAATCTATGATGTTGTCTAAACAATTCTGCCAGAATCTGGCATCATCCGGGACTTTTACTTATCAAAAAAGTGACTATGTTTTTTTTTTTATTTCCAAGGCAAATTTCATGTTGTATATAAAGAAACTCAAGAAGAACATAAAGAACCTGAGACCAGAACTAGATGGTGCCTGGCTATCAATGCCAACCAAAAAACTGGAAATCCTGAATAGAATGGGAGGGAAAATGTGGAACAAAACTCAAAAACACAAAAATAACCAGAATTACTGGTCAGATGAAGACTGGTGGGACCCCAAAAACCATTGCCCCAGGTTGCCCTACAAGCCTAGAAATGGACTCACTTCCATGGATTGGCTCTCAGCCCAACAGCAGAAAGACCTACACGCAGAACACCTACCCCAGGGTGATGCACCCACCTACTCTAGGGAGATGCACCCCTCAGAGCAATCGGCCATGAGCCATCAGAAGGGCAGCGTTCACACAGAGGGAAAGCTGGACAGACAGGGATGCACAGTTAAGAAGGGCACAGGAAGAGAGCAGTCACAGGGTGGGACACGGAGGAAAGTTTTTTATGGCTGGGGATGTTAATCGGGAACATGAAATCAAACATGTGCATGAACTGCTGAACATAAATCAAATTTGCTTTGTAAATTTGCACCTAAAGCACAATTAAAAAAAATAAAAGACTTATATTCTCAAGTGTAACTAATCCTGTATCAATGTTCTGCCCTGTTTTGTGCTAATACAAAAATCTGTCTTATTTAAAATCAAGAAATGTATCTTATTTCTTGCCTAAGGTAATAGCTCTGACAAACATTCTTTACTTGTTTATTGCTGTTTTCATTCCCATTTCAAACACTTTTGTGTTCTGCTTAACCATTTAAACCACCCAGGTAGTCCTTATCTAATTTAATTTTTGTCTTCTGTCTAGCATCTACTTGCACCAGGAAGATAAAATATCTTCAATATGATAAGCACTTGTTGAACTGACTCTTAGCCCCATAATTCCATCATTCAAATAGGTATATGCAAAATCAAATACTGATGTGGAAGTTTAGAATATGTTTAAGGGAAATATGGAAACTTTCAACTTGATACAAAACACAAACCTCAAAGCAACAAAAGCTACTTACTTAAATAGTGTATGTAGGCAAGTTGATCAGAGATCTAACATGTACATTTTACCATGGGAATAATTACATAGTAACTGATTAGAGTCCTTCTCAGTTAGGAAATCATCCAAGAAGAAATGAAACATAAGAAGCAGTGTTGTAAGAGAAAAGGTCATGCAATCAGTGTATATTTTAACATTTAAATCTTGAAAATTATGAGGTCAACTAATGAGTATTTAGAAAACATAGTTTGTAAAAACTCATCACAAACATCTAAGGGATGAACTGTCGTTGTAGACTCTGGTATCAAAATCCATCTAGATTCAAATACAGCCTTAGGCAAAATATTTAACTTCTCTCTGATATTTTTTTTCAATGTTTAAAATGGGGGTAACAATTCTACCTCATTTTAATCATGAGGTTTAAATAATATAAAGTATCACTGTAAAACATACACTTTAGTATTTATTTAAGGAGCCCAGGTGGTCCAGGGGCTAAAGTACACAGCTGCCAACCAAAAGGTCAGTGATTTGAACCCACCAGCTGTCCATGGGAGAAAGATGAGGCAGTCTGCTTCTGTCAAGATTTACAACCTTGGAAATCCTATAGGGGCAGGTTTACTCTGTCCTACAGGGTCGCTAGAGTTGGAATCAACTTGAAGGCAGCGGAGGGAGGGGGGAGGGATTATTTATATTTTGTTTTTTAAGTTTTATTTTTTAATTGAGGTTTAACTTATGGCCACTATTCAAGTAGTTATTGTTGTTTAATATTAAAAGGATACCAATTAAGACAGATCTGTACATTACTCCATTCAAATAGATTTTCTCACGAAGGTGAATCAATACCAGACGAATAGGCTTTGTTACAGTCCACAGGTGGGCAGAGGCTGACTTGAGGTTATCTAAGAAGATATACTTGGCCTACCTGGTAATTCCCTAAATTCCTTTCCTTAGGAGTAAAGGCAGGAGGGTAGGCTGATTATTTAGACAAGAAATCAGTATTAAAAAATGAAAACCATACCTTAAACAAAGTATGTATTTATGTATTTCCCTTGAGCCTTCAATCACTGAAGTAAACCTGCAGAGCCATCACTGAAAAGAGATGTCTAATATGTAATTCTCCATTCGTGGAAAAATGCATTTGGTTAATAAAGACTCACCTGGGAAGTGTTGTTCCTTTCACATTATTATCTCTAAAATTCTTCTCATATTGGGGTAGTTCAACAAATTCTATCAACCACTGAAGGGTGTCCTCAAGGGTCCAATTATGAACTGCAAGAAATAAAAAAGAGGAAGGCATATTTCAAACACAATTGAGTAACAGAATTTAAAAATAAAACATGTAATCATTATAACTTCAGGGGAAATAAAGATGTCAGGTGACATTTTCAATTCAATTCAATCAACAGTAAGTACCAAAATGTTAATTAGCATTCTATGAGTAGATACACTTCCTGCCCTTAGAAGCTCACAGTCTACAACAGGGAAAACAGATAAAAGAAAAAAGGAGAAAACATGAACATGGTTAATTCTAAAATAAGCACCTCTATAAAGTGTGTAGAGGATTAAATAATCCATTAATTCTTTCATCCATCCATCTATCCATCCATGTAACAGTGTTAAGTGTCAAGTTCCATTGTTGTTGCTGCTGTTGTTATGTACCATCAAGTTGGACCTGACTCATGGCGACCCCTCCTTGGGTTTCTAAGGCAGTATCACTATGGAAGCAGACTGCCTCACCTTCCTTCCGAGAAGTGGCTGGTGGTTAGCAGTCAAGTGCCTTAAGCACTATGCTACCAGAGCTCCTAGCTCCAATGTAAATGCAGGAAATGATAGCAGTGAACAAGAGAGATAAAGTTCTTGCCTAATGGAACTTCAGTTCTTTTGGGGAGGCTGGGAGAGGCAGCTTATGAAAGGAAAAAACAGGAGGGAAATTTCAGATAGTGATCAGCTATTAAGAAAGGAAGGGAAGATTTCAGGGCAACCCTTTCTGAGCGCATATGAACTGAGACCTAAAAAATGGAAGAATTCAACATCATGAACATCTGGGAGAAAAATATTCCAAACAGCAGAAAAAGCTAGTGTGAAGATCTACAGATAGGAATTAAGTTTCCTGTGTTTGAAAGACAAGAAGAAAGGAGTCCATAGATGACTTTTAAGAACAGTGGATATTTTTCTAATTTCAATTAAGAAAAATAAGAATACAATTATCTATGTTTTTAAAATATCACTCTTCTGTGAGGCTAGTCAGGAAACCCGGTGGCGCAATAATTAAGCTAATCAAAAGGTTGGTGGTTTGAATCCATACAGTAGCTTTGTGGGAGAAACAACTGGTGAAATACTTCCTTAAAAATTACAGCCAAAGACAACCCTATTGGGCAGTTCAACTGTCACATGGGGTTGCTATGAGTCGAAACCAAGTCAGTGGCACATAACAACAATGACATGTGTGAACAGAGTGAGTGAAGAAGCAGATCGATAAGGAGACCCTTCTTTATAGAACTGTCCAGACAAAAGAGGCTATTGGCTTGGGTGGTAGCAGAGAAGATGGTAACAAGTGGATGTATATTCTGAGGATAATGCTGATGAGACGTGCTGATAAAAGGGACAGAGTTTGTAGCTGGAAAAAGGCAAACAGCATAGAGAATAGGCCATTAACTGAGAAAGCAAAGAATGGGGACCAACAGAGATTGGAGAGATGAGTAGGTATGGGTGACAGATCAACAGTTCTGTTTTTAGACGTATGTTTGAGGTAACGTATTAGACATTTAAGGGGACTGCTGCTACTTACCATCTCAGTTTCTCATCCCAAAACTGGCACGATCATCATGCTTACATCTCGTTTTATTTTATGTCCAATATATGAGTCTGAAGCTTAGGGGAGGGAGCCTAAGCTAGAGATACAATTTTAGGGATCATTAATCTACAGATGGTCTTTAGATTGAATGGGATCACCCAAAAGAGTGAAGATAGCTATTAATAGAAAGCTATCTAAGACATAAGTGATACTCAGATGACACTATCTTGCTTGTTGAAAGTGAAGAGGAATTGAAGCACTTGCTGATGAAAATCAAAGACCACATGCAGCCTTCAGTATGGATTACAAGAAAACAAAAATCCTCACAACTGGACCAATAAGCAGTATCATGATAAACAGAGGAAAGACTGAAGTTGTGAAGAATTTTATTTTACTTGAATCCACAACAATGCCCATGGAAGTAGCAGTCAAGAAATAAAACTTGACAATAGCACTGGGCAAATCTGCTGCAAATTAAGACCTCTTTTAAGTGTTAAAAAGCAAAGATGTCACTTTGAGGACTGAGGTGCACCTGATCCAAGCCATGGTATTTTCAAGCATTTCATATGGATGTGAAAACTTGGACAATAACTAGGGAAGACTAAAGAATTGATGCCTTTGAATTATGGTGCTACTGTTGTTGTTAGGTGTCACTGAGTCATCTGCAACTCATAGCGACCCTATGTACAGCAGAATGAAACACTGCTCAGTCTTGCGACAGCCTCACAATTCTTCGTATAACTGAGCCCATCATCGTAGTCCCTGTGTCAATCCATCTTGTTGAGGAACTTCCCTTTTTTCATTGACCCTCCACTTTACCAAGCATGATATCCTTCTCCAGGAATGGTCCCTTCTTACAACATGACCAAAGTAGGTGAGACACATTATGGTGTGGGTGAAGAATATTAAATATACCATGAACTGCCACAAGAAAGAACAAATCTATCTTAGAAGAAGTGCAGCCAGAATTAGAAGTTAAAATGGCGAGACTTCATCTCACATACTTTTGACGTGTTATTTGGAGGGACTAGATCCTGGAGAAGGATATCACGCTTGGTAAAGTAAGAGTCAGTAAAAAAGGAGGAAGACCCTCAACAAAGATGGTTTGACACAGTGGCTGTAACAATGTGCTCAAACACAGCAATGAATATGAGAATGGCACAGGATCAGGAAGTGTTCCTTTCTATTATACAAATGGTAGTTAGGAGTAGGAACCACCTTGACGGCACCTAACAACAATAAACAACAATCTAAGAAATTGGACCTGATTGATTCATAAACAAAATGATAGCTCACGTCTCTTCTCTTGGACATTTACTCTGGATTAAGCACTTATACGCATCTTCTCCTTTAAGGCTTATCAAGGAAAAAAAAATGAAGTACAAACATGATGATTATCCCATTTTGAGATGAAAATTTGAGAAATTAACATGAGCAGTATGCTTAAGTAGCACCAGTAGGTTTGAACCAAGACAAAGTGAGCAAAGGATCTGACTCTATGCTGCTCTAAGAGCATAATATTAAACAACAGTAAAGATACTGTGTTGTTGTTGTTGTTGTTATATACCATCGAGTCGGACCTGACTCATAGTAATTAATCACTGAAAGCAACTCAGGGGTTTCTGTATTAAGAGCATAAAGGATAATGATGAACTTATCCAAAGGAAAAAATGCAAATGCCCTTAGAAAAGGACAAGTTCCTTATTGCCCGTACTTAATTTGAGGACTTGGGAAAACATGGTGCTTCTAGAGCATAGAACTGGTCAGAGGAGAGTGAAGTAAACAAGTGAGCAATAAAAGCAGATCTAGGAATCCATCTGTGCATAAATCAATCTGAGAAAAGGTCTTTCTGAGAAACTACATAAAATTATGAATTCACATTTGCAAGCAAAGCTAGTTCTTTGCAATCTGCTTTTTCATTAAATGCTCTTTAGATAAAAAGCTTAAATAAATCATAAACAACTGGCTAACAAAAACTTCATTAAAAAATTATATACAGCAATTTAGAATTGTATACTGAAACAAAGTGTTGACTATTTTTTGTATGTTCTCTTCTTCATGTGTTCCTGTCACAAGCTTGGACATGTGCCTGAGGCTGTATCTATGCAGCCAAATAGCTCAGGCTATCAGCCAACAGTTCAGGCCCTGGGTGCTTTCCACTGAATTTAATACATTCAGAGTAGCCTTTCTAATCTTAAGTTTCTTCCTATTCAAGATGAACTGCATTGAGAATTGCCCTGTCTTGACTGCCAAGAAACCCATAGTGCAGCTGCACCTCACACACCCACACAAAAACTCCAGCCAAGAAAACAGGATAAGATTCAGTCATTTCTATGGCTGCTCAAATGATCAACAGCAAAAGTCGCTGATCTAAACAATCTAGCACATCAAAATATTCCTGCAAATTGCATTGAGCCAGCACAGAAAGGAAGGAAAAAAACTCAAATTAAAAGAATATATATTTAAACTTCCCAGATCCTAGTACTTCTTGTACTAAGGGCCACAGAGTCAGCTCTGGACTCATGATGACATTACACATACATCTCTCACTGCTGTGGAGTCAGATCCGACTCAGAGCGACCCCTCTTTGGGTTTCCAAGGCAGTATCACTATGGAAGTAGATTGCCTAATCTTCCATCGGGGGAGTGGCTGGTGGATTTGAACCGCCAGCCTTCTGGTTAGCAGTCAAATGCCTTCGGCACTACTGCCACCAGAGCTCCCTTCCGTATTCATGGTGCCTAGTAAACAGAACATTGTAATGGTTCCAGAGTAATTTTCTTTACAATCTTTAAAACAATGAAATTTTAACATGAAACATGAAGTTTACTTTGGAGAGAAGTTCCTTTCTCTGGCTCCTTTAGGGATACTTTACTCAATTCCTTCATTTCTCTTCTTGTGACCAAGACCTATATACTATATTTGCTCTCTCTGCTCTAAATACAGTAGCTGTTCTTTAGTTCTTAGCTCTTTAGTTCTCTATCATTCCTCAGGCTGTTCAGTCACTGTGAGACCCTTTTCTCCATCCTCATGTTGATTAAATAGGTCTCAGCTTTGCCCACCTATTAACAGTTCATATTTCAATCTTCAGGGGAGTTTCCCCTGACATTGTTGATCATAAAGCACCCTGTGATAGCTGGAGATGTGTGTCAACTTGGCTGGACCACAATTCTGTGTGGTTTAAGCAGTTGTGATGTGGTTATTCCCATAATGGGATCAGATGAATACGTTTGAGCAGCGAATCCGTTGAAAGGGAATTTCCCTAGGGGTGTAGCCTGCTTCCAGTATATCTATGGACATCCTGGAAAAACAGACACTCTTCTGTGGATTGGGATTCTGTTGTGCTGCCTACAACTGTCTGTGAGCGAACAATCCACCATTCAGCCTGGAGATCTTGGAGCTGTCATTCGTTGGAGTCAACAGCCAGTGTACTGCCTGCCAACCTTGAGCTCCTCAGCTCCTGCAGCTACGAGAGTTG